GAGAGAGAGAGAGAGAGAGAGAGAGAGAGAGAGAGAGAGAGAGAGAGAGAGAGAGAGAGAACGAGAACGATGTCCTTATGACCACCATACTGCTTTCCAAAGAACTATGCAAATATAAAAAGTCACTAACAATATATGCTTCTTTATACTTCTGCCATACAGTGTCAAAAGTAACAATAAAACACAAAGAAAAAGGGCAAGATTAAGAATGAGCAAATACTCTGGCAACTATTCTAATGGACTTTTGTCTTTAAAAATATTACTAGACCCCCAAAAAAGAAAAAAGCCAGATGGCAGATGTCTGTGAGTTCAAGGCAGCCTGGTCTACAGAGCAAGTTCCAGGACAGGCTCCAAAAGCTACACAGAGAAACTCTGTCTCAAAAAACAAAAACAAATAAACAAAAAACTAGAAATGAGAAACAGAAACTTCCTATTCCATACAAAATGGTCATATGGTCATTCCACTTACAAAATAAGAAAAACTGACTTCACAGTATAAAAGTCCTTGAAACTGCACTGTTGTTTGGTTCCTAACATTAACACTGTCGAGGGTAACAGAAAACCGTCAGATGAGAGAAATGAATGAACTGTGACTGGTGAACTGGTACAGAAGCTTAATGTTAAACACCTTCCAGTTGTTCTATACCTATTATGATCACTTTTTCTAAGTTAAAAACAGTAACACGGGGGCTTTGATAGGTGATCTTGTAACTAAAACACGGCCCAGTATTGTGTGTCTGAAATGGCCACATGTGCTACTGACTTTAGATCCTGGAATATCTGCATGCCTGTAATGAGACTTTCTCTTGGGGATGAGACCCATATTTAAACAAATTCATTTATGGTATATAGCACCTGTTACAGAAAACCTAGAGGTATTCTTTGTAACATTATAGTTAGTGCGGCCTGTATATTAACTGAGTCCTGTCAACATAAGGTCAGATGAGGAATTTTCTACTTGCATTAAATTAGTTATCACATGATAGGTAGATTTCAAAGCATTCTGGATTTCAGATTTTTGGATTAGAGGTGCCCACTTATCATTTGGATAAGCACTGTATCACAAAGTGGTGTGGCCTCTATCTAGGAGACCTGATGCTTTTCGAAGAGGTCACAAAAGTAAGGGGTGGGGTACAGGAGGGATGACATGGAGATGGACTGCACCATGAATCTAAGCTCTAAAACCATGAGGGTTTTCTTCCTAAGACTTTCCAACATCATAATCTAGTGATTTAATGTCTTAGTAGTAGTAAGTGCATTTTGATTTTTGCAATTTCTACTTAGTCCATCGTAAGATGCATCTGTTTCATGGCTATTAAGAGCTAATTTCATGATCAACAGAAATGTTGCAGAGCTCTTGAACATGTGCAGTCAAATCTGTGAAGACTTCTAGAATCAAACATACAAAGGGAGCCAAATGAAACTATTATCTTGCCTTTCCCTCAACCCACACCCACACCCCCGAGACAGGGTTTCTCTGTGTAGCCCTGGCTGTACTGGAACTTGCTCCAGGATGGCCTCGAACTTCTGAGATACACCTGCCTCTGCGTCCTTAGTGCTGGGTCTAAAGGTGTGTGCCACCACCGAGTGGCTGAAATTTTATCTTCTTAAATAAAGCAGTAAGAAGAACAAATACCAGAAAAGTTCCCAAGAAATTACCAGGGAAGATTTAACACCCCCACCCAACAAACAAAACGGAATGTGGGTAGGGCAGTAGGAAAGATCCAAACCAGGGTGAGCTCTAGTGAACTCTGTGTCTGGCTTAATTACATGACTCACCATGGACCACTGCATGGCTACTGCACAGGCTTGCCAGGTAAGTCAAAAGGCAATCAAATTCACACCCTGGGGCAAACACTAATGAGAGGAACACTGGCTTAAGTCAGTCCTTACTTCCATGTAACAAATGCTTTGAACTTTTAAGTTATCTCAAATGGAAGAAGAAATTATTTCCTAAGAGGTATTTGCTGCACTGGGTTGGCTGGCTTCCTAAAAATGCTCAATGGTGAGGACCCCAGCAACTTTCTAATCACAAACTTAACTGACACACAATTAATACGTACAAAATTACAACAGCTTAATAAATGCCCAATGATAAATAATACTTTTGTTTTCATCTTGACATTTCAGGGACAGCCAATTTGGAAAGGCGAGCCCAATTGAATATTTAAAGCTATCACGATGCCATCCCTTTCACCAAACAACCCATCTCTGAAGTTAGTATTCTGGGGCAAATCATGTTTTCTAGTGTTAATAATAGTATAAAATATTTTAAGACTAAAAATAGCTCCATTTCCTCTAGATATGGATACCACAGTCTAGTCAACATTAAACACGGTATTCGGGGAACAGATGTTACAAGTTCTTACTGAAAAAAATGTTATTTCTAAGCCAATTATTTATCAAAACAGAATCAAAGCTTCCTAAAGCATTTCTCTCCTGAGAGCCAAAACCAGGCACTTCAGTCAGTCATTTCCCAGACCAGTTCTCTAAGCATATCTGCCACGGCTTCCTCTCTCTATCTCCTGGACTCACTGATTACCCAGGTGACATGGTAAAGAGTAAAAAGGCTAGGTGCATATGTGCGTGTGTATTAGACACTTCAAGAGAAAAAGTTAAAACTCAAGCAACATATCATATTTCTTAAATTATTTAACTGACTGGCATGAGGAACCCTGAAATCAACGGTGCATATAGACAGAACTGAATCCCACGGTTCCGGAGATGATCACATCATGTAACATCATTAAATGGCAGAACCAAGGCTGAGCTCTCTGAACGCAGATAAGTACCCAGTTCTACAGCCAATGGGTTTTGCTGTGGCTGGCATGCTAGGTTCCGGTGGTTTGACATAAACAGTCACCTTTCCAATACACCAAATGAGACTTTGATTAACAAATCCCTGTCCACCAGTCTGCTGTCACCATACTGCTTTCTGCCTGCTTGTCCCAAAGCTTCAAAACTGTGGCTTGACAGGCAGTCAGATTCAAGAGGAGAAAGCCATGGTGTCCCCTCAACAAATCCTTTCCATGATGAGCAAAATGTTATATAACAACTTGCAAACACTTTCACGGGGTACGTTTGGAACAGTCATGAGGGCCGAATCTGTCTTCCTTCTCAGTTTAAACAAATCCCAAAGCTTCCGAACAGTTCTTCTCTGTTGGGTGGTTACTCTTGCCTCTGAGCTCTTTCCCTCCCTACTCTTTCTATCATACATCATCTCAGCTACTCAGAGAGGAACAGCGGTAATTTTTTGCTTAACCCAGCAACATTTTCACTCTCAGTGTTACTTATATCTGATCTCTTTATCTAGAAAACTCAGATGATCAATAATATCGCAATATTAATTGCAAACCACATTCTATGATCTATATTAATAACTATGCCAAAATACATCAATCAGAATTCAGATCAGAATATACTTAATAAATTGGAATTAATACTTAAGAAAATATTCTGAAAAATATTAATTTAGCTTTTAAGATTCTAACAATAAGTGGGAAAATTAACTGTGTACATGTGATATACATTACCAAGTTGATGGTATCTGAGTTCTTACTAAATATATATAATGTCACTTCGTAACACCTTACTTATTAAAAACTACCTCTGAGCATCAAAAGACAAACTGCTAGTTATCTATATAAATATTTGCCCGAAATGATCCCGTCATATTTGAAAGAGTCAGAGAGTTAAACCATGCAGCAAACACAGCTTTAAAGTGGCAGTCCAGACATCAAGAAACAGACGAGCTCAACAGTTTGGACTGGTACAAATTTCAAGTGCATAAAAAAATTATTTTGAGAATAGCAAAAGAATTTGAGGTCTATTACTTTACAGAAGTACTCACCTGACTCTTGCAAGTACCTATATACCAAGAAGTTGACCTCATCACTGCTTATACTCATCTTTATTCCCACTTAAACCATGAGGTCACAACACAGGATATAACCCTAAAAATAAAACAAAGTTAATTATTTTCTCAGTAAAATTATATTAAAACAAAATGTAAACAATGTTGTAAAAAAACATTTGATTTTATTAAATGATGTTAAACAAAGGTTCTTCATTGCCTTGCCATATTAACATAGTGATTTCCACTGCTGGTAAAATGATTTACACAATCAAAACATAGCCAGTGCTAGTTTTCTATAGGATAACTTCCCATCGAAAAGGAAAAGATTCACAAAGGCCTTCAACACTGCATGTAATATAAAACTTACTCCCTTTAGTATCCCTAAATAGAAAAAACAAAAAGCAAGATCTAAGACTCAAGAACATCAGTCCCTGAAAAAGGGCACAGCTTTAAAGCGCCGAGCAGGGAGGCCTCAGCCACCTCCTCTGGTGCTGTGGTGTCTACACACCTGGCAGACTTGCTTCCTGTATCTCAGAATCTCATAACACAGTGTTCGAGTCTTATGATCTGGGTATGTGCAAAACTAGGAGGCTGGACACGGTTCTTAGAATGCCACACTCTCTTACTGGATAGGGTGGGGTAGGGCAAGAAGCATACTACAACATGACTTAAGTATATATAATCATAAATCTATTCTCACAATTTACAAAAAGGTCAGAAAACTTCTTGTAAGAGTCAAACAATAAATATTTGAGGTTCTGCCAGCCATACAGCCTGTCACAACTACTCAGTGTTACCATGTGGTGCAAACCAGTAAATGCAAACAAATGGACATGGTTGTGTTCCGATAAGACTTTATTTGTGGATAATGAAGGTTATATTTCACAGTAATTATTGTGTTAAATATTAGTCCCCCTTCCCCTCCGCAGCACATTTTTTTTAAGTGAAAGGAAAAAAACAAAATCTCCTTTTAATTTTGGTCCTTTTGAGGAAGGTAGTGGGCTGGATTTGACCCATTGTGTATCGGCCTGTTTTTTTAAAAAAAAAAAAATCTATGCTGGTATTTATTCAGAATAAAGGTGCATCAAACATGTGGGCTTGTGCTAACTGTCCTAGTACACCATGGCTCTTGTACATGGATGGCCCTTGCCTATCACAGTGGGTAGATCTGGAAATGGAGGTGAAAGGACATCCTGGCAGACATGTTCCAGAGTAACTGCACCACAACCAGCCTGATTCATAGAGAGAAGTGCCAATGGTCTGCTCCCGGGTTGAAAAGAATTAGATTTCCACCTACTTGTGGTACTGTGTGTAGATTAAATGTGCTAACAGAAACAGTACTGAAAAGGCCGCTGCAGCATTCACTTAGAAGTGAACCTGCTGAACGGTAGCAAGCCTCAGAGACCTGACAAACACAACAAGGTTGTTGCCATTCACCTGGATCCTTCCTGATTTGTGGGAAAAGGGCACTTAGTTCATTGCAACTTGGACAACGCTGAGTGAATACAAGTCAGGGCAGTGTGCCTAAGCAGGCCAAGGATGTAAAATATGGGTGACTCACAGGTACCATCCATAGCACAGTGAAGAGGATCTAGTCCTTTAATTTCAATCTTCTGAGTGTAGCTAATTACATCTGTTACTATGGCATACATACTTCTTCCTATTAGTTTGGAATAGTAACGAAATGAAGGAGGTGGGGTGAGTACACAGAGCCCTTGCTAGACAACAGGTAAAGGACCTGGTTAAATATACGTTGATTTCCTTTTCAGTGTTATCTTCCTCACCTCAATATGGCAAGACTCGCATATTGGGAAAAGGCTATGTACTCCAAATATTCAAATACTAGTTTCTTTTGGTTTCTCTGTGTAGCTTTGGAGCCAGTCCTGAAACTTGCTCTGTAGACCAGGCTGGCCTCAAACTCAGAGAGATCCACATGCCTCTGCCTCCCCAAGTGCTGGGATTAAAGGCGTGCACCACCACCACCTGGCATCAAATACCAATTTCTGATGACTACTAGAAGTGCAGGACACAGTGAATAGATGAAGAAACTCAGCAGTAGGAGGTCTGCCCCATGTTACCAATCTATATTAACAGTGGAAGCTATTACAAGTTTACACACAATGCTGTCTTAACAAATGCCATCACATCCTCAAAGGCAATCAGCACATGTCATACAGACTATAAAATCTCTACTGAAACCTCAGAAATACACAGCATCTTCTACTAGCACAATCCTTACTGGGGGGTGAGCTCTCAAACCCATGAGCAGTCATCATTTCATCTGTGGCCATGTTGCTCATTAGGGTCACATGAAGCACTATGCCAAGCTGACTTTGTGAACACAAGATATACTGTGGCAACAGCACCTCTTTAACATGGTAGGCTTATAATACCTTTCAACTCCAAACCCAAAATAGCATAACTAGGAACACAGTCTGTGTACAAGTGCATAGGAAGTGACCCACCTTGGATGTGACTGTAATGAAGACAGGGTCTTTCAAGGTCTCTAAGTTCAAATAAAGCAACGTGGGTCTTACTTGGTTGGTTCCCAAGTTGAGACACATCAAGGATACATGGGCACAGAAGAGCCTCAGAAGACACTGACCATAATGGTCCCTTGACCTAAGACTACCAAAGATCCTGAGAACAGAATTCTTTTCGCCACTCAATCAGTGGGATTTGTTACAGTAGCTCTAGCTAATATAAAATTACTATTGTTTGGTTTCGTTGTTTATGGGGAAGGCTTAGCTGTGGTACCCTAACTATTATCAACCTCCTGAGCTCAAGTGATCCTGTTGGGATTTCTACATCCCAAGTCACTGGTACTATAGGAATGCACGACCAAATGTGGCTTTATCACTACAAAGTATGAAACTCTATGTAATCATTCTTTGATACCTGTAAACTTGACATCTGAATTCACAGAGCCTGGATCTGTTCTTCAGAAACAGATTTCATCTTTGAACACACCATGCCCTTCAGAATCACTCAAAAGGAACTCAGTATATTAGCACCTAGTATCTCCTGCCAGCCAATGCCCTACTCTCCCCGCAATAAACCAGCACTCAACACTGGAGAGCACTGAAAGTACTCTACTCTCAATTTCCTACCTAATTAAAAACCATAAAAACCTCACCAATGTTTGAGGTAATGCCAATTTGTGTACTTAAAGTACATCCAAGGAAGGAAAGTTTTGAGACATTCTTAGCATCTTCTAAAACGTATCTTAAAAGACAAGTAATTTCTAATATTTTAAGACTAAATAATATCCTTCTTTAAAAGCCCATTTGTAGCATGCAAAGCCAAGAAAACATGAAGATCTTAATGTGATTAGACAATCTCAGGAAGAAACCTCCTTAATGAAATGCATGTTCCAGGTTCTTTGATTAACTAATCAAAAATAAATTTAAACCCCAATTTAACAAAAATCAAATCAATTCTTTTTCCTCCAGTCTGGGTTTTTTGTTTGTTTGTTTGTTTTGTTTTTGTTTTTTGAGTCTATGCAGCCCTGGATGGCCTGAAGCTCACTCTGGCTGTCCTGGAACTCACAGAGATCCGCCTGCCTCTGCCTCCCAAGTGCTGGGATTAAAGGAGTGGGCCACCACCGCCCGGCTTACACTTAACTTTTTTGTGTTTATCAACACTATGGCTTGTGTACACATGGTTTAAGGTTGGCTGCTGATAGTCTCTCTAATCTAAACAAGAATTCCCAAGTTGGGGAGACAGCTCAGTAGTCAAAAGCACTTGACACAGAAGCAGGAAGGGTGGAGCCCAGATCCCCCATGCCCACAGGATAGATGGACATCGTGGCATAAGTTCCTAACCCCAGCATTTCCAGTTTGAGATGGAGAGCAGAAACAGGAGTACCTTGGAAGCTGGCAGTAAAAAGCAAGCCTGGAGGTAAGGATTCATCTTATACGTTCACACTACGGCACACTGTGACTAATGCCCACAAGTACATATGTACCATCTGGGGGAGGGGGTTAAAAAAAGAAACCCAACTCCTAAACTAAAGATAAATGCTATTTAAACTATATTTTCTATCGTAAGATTCATTCCATGAAATTCACACTAAATGGAAAAAATCCTTTAAAATATAAAGTCACTGGATCTATCTACATCTCATATTTTTTACAAGGCATAATTAATACTTTAAATATTAGTATCTGCTCTAGTGCAGATAGCCTACAATATCTTCACATGTAACAGCAACAAATGCAGATCAAAGAGTAGAAGAGAAAACAGTCACCATCTTCGTCTGACATACAATCATCTTCAGGTTCATCTTCAAAGAGTACACTTGGCAAGATGTTCACTTACACAAAAGGGTACTTTCTTTTTGTATTTATAGTTAATTTTGTGTTTTGTTTTGTTTTTTACACAAGATAGTCACCATTGTTTTCTACAAGCAAATACTAGACTGAAATCCCAAATAAGCCATTTCAAAGGTCTAACAGACCTTTTGTATCTAACAGAATTTACAAGAGTCAACTTCATCAATTAACAATAACTATTCTCCTATTAAAAAGACCTGTGATGAACTACTTCATAGTTCGGATGTTGTCTGTAACTTCCAAACCATACAAAAAAAGTATTTACAGAAGCATCTAAAATCCATTTAAAATGGAGAGTATACAGGAACTTATTGAGTGCTGAATTACTTAGTAAACTCTAGTTCAAATACATAGATGGGAACACTGAAGGGTGAGACATGAAATCTAGTAGACAAAGCAGGTCACATGATACATTTTCTCAATGATCTGGTGGAAACCAACCACAGGATTCAAGGTAAGCAAATCATTTTCTTGCTGAGAAAGAATGTGAGAAAGTCCAGTGTGGGAAGTCAAACCAGGAGTAGCATGAAAAGGTCATGGGCATAGGAAGCTAGCACAACCACCTCAAATTAAACCAATCCAGTCTAGTGTGGCATCAGGCTTATGAGACAGCCCACATTCTCCAAAGACTGGTCAACCAACAGAACAGGTAAGCACTGTGCTCTTAACTCAGGCAGTGCAGGAAGAGTAGAGAAAACCATGCTGGCCAAACCAAAATTATAATGATGTTTTTGAAAGCATTTCCAGAATAAGGAGGCAAGTAATAAGCAAAACTAAGACTACCAAACTTAAGTAAGTTGAGAAAAGTGCTCACACATGTTGTTGTACTTAAAATTATTGCAAAAACTATGAGTGAAAATTTGTACCAGATGGTCCTGGTAGCTAACAGGTGACAGACAGAGACTAAGTGTCTAGTGTAGTGCTTCAAAAAGAAGAAAACTGTAAAGAAGGAATCAGCACTGACTCTAACAGACAATGGGAGCCGGTTCAAGTCAAACGAAGAGGATGAAGCTGCATTTAGTGTTAAGGGACAATACAGAGACCCCAGAAAGTGGGGAAGAGCAACAAAGGTAACAGTACTTCCTCCAGGGTTGTCCGCTCTAAAAACCAGCACACAGACAGCCAAGACCACAGAAGAACCAAAGCAAACACACAAAACAGAAATCCACTGCATAACTACCCGAGGCCAGACAGGGTTCAGCCCTTGTAGTATCCTGCCAAGGAAGTTACACTATCTCTAGCTGTAGGAGACGTACCCCCCCCCGCCCCCCCCACACACACACACAGCAAATGTCTCACTGTTATGGCTGTGGAGGCACTCACAGTTTTAAGTAAAGGATAGTAAACACATGTGTGCATGGCAAAATGCAATCAGTGTGGTACTGGGTCTCAAGATGAGATCTACAGAATTTTATGGCATCCTGGGGGCAAACTTCCTTTCATACAATATTACTTTTTTTCACCAAGGAGGTGACATTTGCATGGACATTACCTAGCAAAGATGAGCTTCCCACCTCACAGGTAGGAACATGTGTTATGAATTTTCCATCACTATGCATGACAACAAAACCAAATGAAAAGGTCTCTCTGAAGAATTTATTTTATTAATATCTTAACACCAGTATGACTTTTAATATCCTAGTTGACAAAACACCAAGCTCACTTAGACCTTTGCTTCTGGGGCTGATTTGGCTGCACCCTCATTAGTTCACACTTCAAAAAACAGAATGGCTTCTCAAGTGGCATCCCACAGGTAGTTCTTACAAAATGAATGAGGTGAACTCTTACTCCCAAGAAAATATTAACGATTTGTTGGCAAAGATTCAACTGAAGCTTTTAAATGAAAAGTTTATGATTTTGGAAACACTGTCATAAGTTTGCTAATGGCCCAGTTCCTAATCTTAGTGAGTAAAGTGGTGAATTAATGGCTCTGATATTTTGATATTGTATCACAGGCTTGTGAAAGGTTTTCCTAACTTTTCAAATGGCTAGTACAAAATGTACAAAATTATGCATGAATAGAGGGTATATTTAAAAATTTGAGAAAGGGCCAGGTGTGGTGGTATGCATTATTAATCCAACACTTGAAAAGCAGAGGCAGGTGAATTTGAGGCCATCCTGGTCTACACAACAAGCCAGGGCTACATAGAGACCCTGTCTTGGGAAGAAGAAAAAAAAGTTTTGAGAAAGGCTGGTATATTTAAACATGAAAGAATTACAAAAGGGGGCAGAAAGCTCAGCAGTCCAAAGCACTGTTCCAAAGGACCCAGCCTTAGACAGGGGAGGAACTCCAGACGATCAGGTGCTCTGGCCTCTTCAGGAACATACCTCCTACACACAAATAATTAAAAATAACAATAAAAAAATCAAAACATATACAAATTTCACTGATATAATTTCAGAGCTGGTGTCATAGTGAACCCTTAAAAAGAACTGTTCATTTGCTGAGATTCAGGCTAGTTATGAAGAAGACTATCACATTTATTCCAAAAATAAATTCTGATTTTAATTTGGAAACTTTCCAGCTCTCTTTGCACAGCCAGGCTCCCCATATGTTTCAACTGCAGCAACACATCTTCACACCCGAATCTAGAACAGATGTGAATACCCAGCTGTGCATCAAGCCAGAGATTAGAGAATTTGCAAAAACATAAAACAATGTCAATCTAAACACTTTTCTTGGGAAACACTTTTATTTCATAAAACACATGATTTGTGTTACTATATTTGCATGGAGCTTTGTTAAAATATGAATTATTTATTTTTACACTTTTAGAATCTGATACAGTAAATACCAATACTATATATAACCCACATTTTTAAAAAAGAGCTTTTTGCAGTTAATAAACTGTGGACACTTGAGGACTGCTGGTATAAAACTCCATTCCTTCCTCCATTCCAGTTATCATCTCTGCCACAGTCAGTTTTCTGGGGGGAAGGGAAACTACCTCATTAGGGCACAAGAATTGTTTAGATTTTAACCTGGCCTAAATCTTTCATTAATGCTCATGTGAGAATATGCATTAGGTACCTGTAGCTTGAGTTTTTCCTGCCTTGCCCACAGTTAGGACAAATCTCTGTCACCTGCCAGTCCCACAGCCGCTCAGACCCAACCAAGTAAACACAGAGACTTATATTGCTTACAAACTGTATGGCCATGGCAGGCTTCTTGCTAACTGTTCTTATAGCTTAAATTAATCCATTTCCATAAATCTATACCTTGCCACGTGGCTGGTGGCTTACCGGCGTCTTTACATGTTGCTTGTCCTGGCGGTGGCTGCAGTGTCTCTCCCTCCTTCTTCCTATTTCCCCAATTCTCCTCCCTATACTTTTTGTCTGGTCACTGGCCATCAGTGTTTTATTTATATAGAATGATATCCACAGCACTTCCCCTTTTCTTCTGTTTTTAAAAAGGTTTTAATTTTAACACGGTAAAATTACATATAACAACAATTATCGAGCAAGAATTACAGTTACAATATTAAAGAAGATGTCCTATCTTATATTTGTGAGTTTAAGATTTTATATCTAACTTATCTTTTATCATAACTGAAGAAATTGCGCCAGATATTGGTGAAATTATTAAGGCCACTCCACGTAGTTAAAAGGAAGATTTATTTAGTGGGTGACTTACAAATGAAGGAATAGGTAGATTGCGGGGGAATCTGGGGAAGGTGTATTGCAGTCCAGCGGTGTTCTCTGGAGCTCTGCTCAATCAACCTCCACCGTCTAGGGTCCAGGAACAGAGAGAGCGCTTGCCCATGCAGGTCTTGAGTCTCCAGACGCCTCCCTTGGCCCGGCCTCACAGGCGTGACAGTTGCCAGAGTCTCAATGGGGGTTGGAACTTCCAGATCCAAGCTGGAATGGCTACCCACTACAGGTACCCCCCCCCCAATGTACTTAAAAATAGAATGGATACTAACTTAAAATCGTAAGTATCAGTATGCAGAAGATCTAGTTTTTATTAAATATATGGCATTTAACTGAATCATCAGAGAAGGAAAAATAATAAATATTGCTGAGACCACACCTCTGTATATGGAGTTCTCTACAGACATTCATAAAATTGAAAATACTGAAAATGAGTGTTTTAAGTCATGCACTCAACAACTATTTTACTGAGCTCTACATTATATACCTGGTACTGCTCTGTGCTAACACAGAGACTCATTAACATTAAAATAAAGAGGGAGGTGAGAGAGACGGCGCAGTCGTTTAAAACACTTTTGCTGTTACAGGGACCAGGATTCAATTCCAAGTGTTCACATGGCAGCTTACAAACATCCATAAAGCCAGTCCGTCCTCTGGACTCCTCAGGTAACAGGCATTTTCACAGTGTACAAACAAACGTTCAAGCAAGACACTCATACATGTAAAATAAAAATAAACTGAGGTCAGTCATGGTGGCACAGCCTTTAATGCCAGCAATCAGGTGGCAGAGGCAGGCTGATCTCTGAGTTCAAAGCCAGCTTGGTCTACATAGTGAGTTCCAGGACAGCCAGGGCTATGTAGAGACCCTGCCTCCAAATTAATTAATTAATTAATTTTGATTTTTTTTTTTTTTTAAGTAACAGGGAAAACGACTGAGGAGAAAATATGAACAAGTTCAGGATAATGTCACTGAAAACAAGCATTCTATGTGCTAACTGAAAAGAATTAAAATCAAAGGAAGGACACACATTAGAAAAAAGAAACAGCAGCATGGTGCTCTCTCCCATGGGCTTTTGTTCCCAAAGAGATCATGTTCAAGGCTACAAAGGACTGTAGCTTTCTTTAGGATGTGTGTGTGTGTGAAGTGTGTGTGTACCTACACACAAACATTACACACACACACACGGGCACTGCAGAACCACATTTACCACACACCACACCTGACAGCGGCACAGAAATAAAGGGAAAGGTACCAGCTGAGCAACAATTTTAAAATCCTTTTCAGGCAATTTAACAAGTTACAGGTGGTACAATCATATGTGCCATTTTATACGCTAAAAATGTCAGCAAAGGGGTCAAGAAAAGAGAGGCGTAAGTGTTACCGGAATTATTGACAGCAGCTGGCTAGCCAATTGTAAGGAGTAGCTTGGCCCACTGGGCACGGTCTTCTCTGGAAAGACGTGACCGGAAGAGAAGGGGGGGTGGGGGCTTGCTCTCTCTTGGACGGTGTCAGCAAGCAACTGAGAAGCGTGGCTGGCAGTTTGGTCACCTTCTCCCTCAGGAACAAAGAGGCGGCGGTAGCTGGATCAGCAGAGTCGTGGCAGCTTCGTTCTGTATTGTAAGTGCATTGTATTGATTTTACCTGTTAATAAACTCTGACTTGATCCCAGACTGCCTTCCCTCTTTACCTGGCACCAACGTGGCAGTCTAACCATGCCATCTCAGGGCACTCATGCTGTATGCTCAACCCCTGGCTTTTATTGTTGTTGTTGGTTTCTCTGTGTAGCTTTGGAGCCTGTCCTAGAACTCACTCTGCAGCCCAGACTGGCCTCGAACTCACAGAGATCCACCTGCCTCTGCCTCCCGAGTGCAGGGATTAAAGGCGTGCAGCACCACCTACTGGCTCCAACCCCTGGCTTTTAAAATCCCTGTTCTGGGATGCAGAGCTGCCTGGACACACGTAGCAGAATCCATCCGGGCAATTTTTGCCAATACACCCAGGAACGTTCCTAATCTGCTCTTGAAAGACCCTAACCCTTCAGGCTCACACCCCACAAGCCCCAGGAGAATAAGGAACTAAAAAGAAAACTAGTTCCAAGGGCAACCTGACTCAGCCATTATTCAACCACCCCTGCCACAATGTAACAATGTAAAGAGATCTATGTTAAGAGATGTGTTCAACTGTGACTGGGATAATTGCAAGTGTTCCAGGAAAGACCACTGTGACCTTTGTGTAAACTCCACTCCCACCCTGATTACCCCCCCTTGAGGTTTCGGGAAAAATGTGCAAGCGGACATGACTGTTCCCACCCTATGATCAGGCCATGATCTTATGAATTTAGCCTCTAGACATAAATCAATCGAAATGAAATTGTATGGGAATTGTAATCTTATGGCTTTTGTGGGTTTTTCCTTTAAAAGTACCCATGTGATTGCAACAGGCGCGACTCTTGCTCTCAGGACAAGAGTAGCCCGTCTGTACAGTCGCTCCAATAAACCTTGGGCTGTTGCATCAACTGGACTGGAGTCTGGGTTCTTGGGGCACCCACCCGAGAAGGTAGTACCCTAGATTTTGGGGTCTATCACTCTGTAGTCGATCAAATTTCACACCTTGCATTTCTGCCTCCCCACCGCCTGGAGGCCCGTCTCCTCCCCAGTCTGCGCGCCTACAGACACAGGGTGTTTTCCTGAACTGGCTCTGTTGCAAGACTCAAGCACTGTGGGAATCCTGAGCATCTGCTCAGCATGCAGAGCCTGACCTGCTTTGCAGAGCACCTGCTCCACAGGCTGGTCAGGGAGGAAGGGAGGGAGGGAGGGAGGGAGGGAGGGAGGGAGGGAGGGAGGGAGGGAGGGAGGGAGGGAGGGAGGGAGGGAGGGAGGGAGGTTTGTTAAAAAGAATAAGGGGGAAAGGACAATCATGAAACCTTTCCTGGGTCAATGACTTCAAATATCACAATGCAGGAAATTAGGACCCTGCTCACTGCTACGATGGATGGAATGCTAGAAAATTCCTGATGAGATAAGCAACCTAGCTAGGATCAATACAATTTTGGTCATAATGGTTTTTAGTCTGGCAATTCATATCTGATCCTTAAAAAAAAAAAAAACATGAGAAATTGACTTAAAGGATACAGGCCATGGAACATGATATGCAAGCCTTACAAATAATTACTAAGGTAAAGAGGACAGCTTTGACTAATAAGATAAAGGCCTGAGGGGTATTTACCAATGAACAAAACAAGAAAATGGCTGATAAAATACAAGCCTTACAAACAGCTACTAAGAAGGATAAGACAGCTCTTGTTGATAAGATGAAGTCATTAGAGTTATTTACAAATGAAGAGGACAAATAAGTGACTGATAATATGTGAGCTGTAGAACAGCTTACTAATCAAGATACACAAGCCTTAAAAGAAACTAGTACTGGTAAGTTACAAGCCTTAGAAAAATTTATTAAAATTGATAAGAAAAGTGTTCACACAGAAGAATTTAGAGAAGCAAAATCACCATTACCTTATAGAATTAGAGAAGAGCAGCCTAGGGTTGTTAAAACACCAACTATGAGTTATCCCATTACTATTTATGAAAGACCACCAGATGACAAGTATCCCAAAGGATATAAATGGGATCCTACGTAAATGTTAGACTTAAGGAATATTAAGGAAGGAATAGTTTCCTATGGTAGGCATTCAGCATATGTGAGGCAGATGTTGAATGCAAAGTGCTCTCAGAATAAAAATTACTCCAAATGGACACAATTAGTTGCAGCAGTATTGGAATACGGTCATCAGTTAGAATGGAACAGCTGGTTGAGAGAAGGACTTAAGGACCTTGAACAGTAAAGTAGGGTTACAGGTTTTGAGATTTCCCAAGATTAAATCCTTGGTGAGGGCTTTTATGCTGACATAGATGATGAACACACTTTGTCCCTATGCCTTGCAGCAGCCTTAAATGCTTGGGGCAAGATTCAAGAATCAGGAAAGAGGTCCAAACCATATACTAAAGTTATACAAGACCCAAAGAACCCTTCACTGAATTTTTACAAAGACTGACCTCAGCTGTAAAAAGAATGATATCAGATCCAGAAGTTAGATGGGTACTAATTCAACCTTCAGCTTTTGAAAATGCTAATTTACAATGCAGAAGGATAATTGGACCTTTAACTATCAGATCAGCACCCACAGAAGAATGGATCCAACACACAGTCAATATTGAGTCTCTTAACTATGATGATGCTTGGGTAGGAGAGGTGATTTCCAAAGGTATAAGGAAAAATCAAAATGTTAACTGTTTTAACTGTGGTAAACAATGTCATCATAAAAAGAAATTATAGGCAGGGTGTTCCTAGAAATGTTTCTTCTTGAAATAACCCAAACAGAAGTCCCAAACCTTCTGGATTATGCAGAAGATGCAGCAAAGGCTAACATTGGACCAAAGAATGCAGATCAACAAGGGACTGGCAACACAATCCTCTACCATCAGAAAAAGCCTTGAGGGGTCTCTCACAGGCCCCCATGAACTTGGTTTGGTCATTCCCTGTCACCATGGGGGAAACTCCTCCCCAGAGCAATTAAAGGACCTAGTGCCTACGGTAAAAAGCCATACTTATCAGGATGATACAATAGTTTTAGAAGATTAAAAACAAAACATTCAGGAGAAACCATAAAACAAATATTTTGGCAAATTTCAATAAATGATCAAAGACCAAAGGTAAGAGTATAAATAAATGACATTATAATTGAAGGCCTTTTAGACACAGGAGTAGATGTACCTATAATTGCACCAGAATCATGGCATCCAAACTAGCTCCTTCAGGAGACAGATGCTCACCTTTTAGGGATCGGAACCTTATCTCAAATAAAACAAAATACAAAATGGGTTCAATGTATAGGACCAGAAGGACAGAGAGGAAAATTGAAGCCATATATGGCTAACACAGCAATGAATTTATGAAGCTGAGGTTTGTTACAGCAATGGAATACCCAGATCAACATTTCTCCAATATCAGAAACAGGCCATAAAACAACATATGTTTCTGGGAAAAATATCGAAAGGTATTGTAAAGAACAGTCACCAACCATTCAGGCTGTACAAGAAAAGGGCACAACAGCTGTTGATCTTTCATAGGTACCAACAATCTATCTTTAAAATGGTTAACTGACAGACCTGTCTGGGTGGACCAATGGTCTTTGACATCAGAAAAATTACAGGCCTGAGAACAGCTGATCCAGGAGCAGCAAAAAATTGAAGAATCAATCAATCCTTGGACTTATCCTGTATTTGTTATTAAAAAGAAATCTGGAAAACTGACAGATTTCAGAGCCATAAATAAAGTAATTCAGCCAATGGGCTCTCTACAGCCTGAAATTCCCCTGCCTTTTCTGTTACCTAAAAGGATGGTCTATTATAGTTATTGATTTAAAAGACTGTTTCTTCAATATACCTCTACAAGAAAAGGACAGGAAAAAATTTGCCTTCAAGGTGCCTATTTATAATAATTCTCAGCCTGTTAAAAGATATCAATGGAAGATCCTCCCATAAGGGATGTTAAATAGCCCTACCCTATGCAAATATTTTGTACAACAGCTGTTGGGAATAATTTGTGTAGTTTCCTCAATCTATAATTTACCATTATATGGACAAAATCTTACTAGCTGATTCAAATGTAGATACTTTAGAAAAATGTTTGAAGAAGTAAAGAAAATTTTGCCTTGCTTGGGATTACAAACTGCTCCTGAAAAAATACAAAGAGGAGACTCTATTAATTACTTGGGATATAAAATAGTTTTACACAAAAGTTAAACCCCAAAAGGTACAAGTCAGGAGAAATCAACCGCAGACTCTTAATGACTTTCAAAAATTGCTGGGAGACATTACCTACCTACAGTCCACTATTAGAGTAACAAGTTGTGAAGTGAGTAATTTGCTTCAAACCTTAAAAGGTGGCAAGGACCTAAATAGTCAAAGAGAATTATCAGCTGATGCTGAGAGAGAATTGGCTTTGGTGGAAAAGAAATTACAGGATGCACATGTGGATCATTTAGATCCAGAGCTTGACTGCATTCTGGTTATTTTACCCTCTACAGGGATTTTTAATTCAGAAGGAAAAATTTACCTTAGGGGATATTTTAACCACATAAACAGAGTTCAAAATTAAAGACATATGTGGACAAGGTTTCTGAGTTGATTCTAAAAGGAAAATTAAGACTTTGTCAATTGACAGGAATGGACCCAGCAGAAACTGTAGTATCTTTTACTAATGCTGAAATTCCCTCTTTATATGGGCAGAAAATGAACACTGGCAAAGAGCTGCAGTAATTTTTTGAGAGAAATTAACAACAGATATCCCAAAAGCAAGAGATTTCAATTCATAAAAAGAACCAATTGGTCCTTCCTCAATTGTATGGGGAACACCAATATCTGGAGCCCCTACATTCTATATGATACAAATAAATCAGGAAAGGCAGGTTGTAAATCAGGAAATTTAATTAAAGTGGCTCAAAGCCCTTATGATTCTGTCCAAAAGTCAGAATTATGCTATTCTCATGGTATTAATGGACTTTACAGAAACTTTTAATACAGTTGTTGACTCTCAATATGCAGAAAAGGAG